AGGAATCGTTACCCACCTATGCGTCGATGACTGGCTACGGTTAAGGTGCCTTTCCAGACTTATCACTAGTCAAAAGTTTCGCCGAAAACCCTGACGCTTTCTTAATCATGGTGAAGTCTAATGACCATTTTTACTGCTAAAACAGTAGATAAGAGAACAATATTGATACTGGCGCCACACCGAGGCATCAGCAACAACATTCACCAGTTGACTACTTGGGTGTTAACGCTCGACATTGGGCAGGACATGGTTTGTCCACCGAAAAAGAATGCAATGTTGCTTAAGTAGGGTACCGCTGTAGCTTCGAGGGCAGTGAGTACTTCGGCGACGCTTATTTATCAACAGCCGGTTGTGAGCATCGCTGAGCCGTCTGTTATCGCATGTCACCGTCATCGTGCGCGAGGGCACAGGGCAGACGCCCAATCGGAGCGCGGCAGGAATAGGCGTTGTCATTGCACTGCTTTTTTGCACTAAGTCGACGGTGACTCACGTGAGTCGCGGCCAATGTAAGGGAGCGTGTTAGGGCGTGCGTTTAGGCGTTTCCAGTCCGCTGTGAGGGGTATTCACGCGAGGCCGCACGCTCTCACGCGAGGTGAGAGCATGTTTTCAGTAATAGCGTCGGGTGAGAGTTTTGCATCCACGAGGGTGAAAACAGATTCATGAGGTGCTAGAACCACCTCCTTTAGAGTGTGGAGGTGCTCAGTTGGAAGTTTACGTGGAAACGCATCAAGCGCACTTATTCGTGAAAGGCAAATCTCTAGGGCCTTGGCAGTGACTTCCATTATGCATGCAAATCCATTGTTAGAAGCTGATTTTTCTAGAAACCTACTTGACCTCGATTCAGCGATAAAAGTTAAAAAGACCCGCTGTGTCGGGTTCGCTCACGGGATGAGTAACTTTTGGATACTTAAAATGAGGGCCCTTTCGCTAATGCTTTGAGTTACCCGACACTGAGGCGTGAGACGTTGATAACTACATAATGCACGTCTTCCTAAAGATTTTTGCCCAGAGTTGACCACCGTTCTGATCAACTCTAGGTGAAACTGATGGTGACGAAATCAAAGTCACAAATGAACCAACACGACATTTAATTGTGAAAGGAGGTCAATTGAATTACACATTCAGTAATTAAAATGACCTATGGGATCCTGGACTCGTTAATTAAATGAAAGTCAGTTAACACATCGGGTCAGTCTTTGTGATCGGAAATTTTTCGTTCACAGTAAAACCGATCGAAAGGGGGTGTGGTGTTGTTATCCTTAATGAACCAGCACAAACCACAGCGAAATCTGGTTTGAATCAATAGGAAAGCATGCCACTAATTTGGTTGGATTCCAAGGATGCTGTGTACTTTGAGCTGCTTCCAAAGAACCCGCTTAGATGTTTATTGTCAACGCATGAAAATGTGGATGGGGAAGGAATTATGAGAAAATGACTTGAATAAGCGAATCAGAAAGGAGCCGTTTTCCAGCCTCAGACATCTCTGCTATCAGCTGACTGACGCGCATTTTGAAGCGTGCATAACGGATTTGTATAACCTCCACTAAACATTGTGGAAGTATGATTTGACTTTACCTGATGTAAGTAAATTGCCACCGGCCACCGCGAATGTCCCAATTAATGTCTGAGGCGTAGTGCATTTTGAGCTTCTACTAAACAACCAATCAAGCCAGATGTTTACCGTCAACAACCAATGAAAATGGAGTTAAATGCAACGAAAGTGGCTAGAATTAGCGATTCGCAAAAGTAGCGAGTTCCAACAGTCATCGCACATCTTTTGTAACTTGGAACGCGGTTGGGGAGTGGTCTCGGACATAGCCCAACCTTGTGGCATTAGATAACCATGTTTTTCAACGATTGCAAAATTCACTAATGATAATGATGACGATGAAAGCCTGAAATTGCATATTATTTGGTATTTTTAGCTAAGAAGCATATTTTCTGTGAACGGTGGTCCAATATTATCTGACAAATTTGAACAACAGCGACGCCTGTCTGGTAAAATGGATCATTAGAAACTGGATAAAGTGTCGCATGACATTCAATTCATGCCATGTAGATGTATTAAAACCGCCTGTACTGTTTAACGAATATGTCAATGTAACCTTGATAGCAAGAGGTGAAAAGTCCAACCTCCCACGCGTGTACCTGGAGTTTTGAACCAGATTACGCAACAAACTTGGTTTGCGCATTCACCTGGAGCATACATTCGTCTTAGTGAAGCTAACATGCAAACCCAGGACAATACAGAACCGGTTGAATCGAATATTCAACAGCTTGGACCATTCTCTTTAAACAATTTGCGTGTTCACATGGACCAGAAATCAAGACCCTCTTCTTTTCCGCGGGTCTCCAGGGTTCTGGAAGCCAAATCGCTGATACTACGCGACCAACTCGTTAGTGCATGGAACGGAAATTTGCAATGTGTGGGCTTTTGTGAGCCACGGAGCAAGTCGCAGCACTTGTCGTGTCTGGAAGCACATTTTGGCAACGATTAAGTGCTTCGAGATTGGAACAGAGCCTCGGAAACACGCAGACACACAGCCAAGGGTCAAGCGAATGTGCCAAAGCGTGCTATACCATACATGTGAGGCCGATTTCGTGAGAAGAACAATGCTCTGAACCACTTACCGACCACCACAACTCCACCATAAAAATCACAAGAATTTCGACCATTCGGCAAGCCACATTAGATGGATATCTGGCAGGTGATGCCTAAAGTTCCCTCTGGCCAAACGATTAGATTTCACACAAAACGAGTGATTCGAACTATAATGGACATTCTCTGGTCACATGAAGGAAAAAAAACTTTCGAAGACCTAAGCACCTGCACCACAGTCTGCTTAATGAATTAACAAATGAATTTACAGTGCCTGATTTTATCCTTAGATAGGTGAATTCGTCACTGTAACAGCAAATTACATAGTCTATTTACTAAGTAAATACGTCGCGTGTGAAAAACAACCTTTTTTCATAAATCAATTCGCTTTACACAGACAATTTATGGCCTGTCTTTCTCACACATACCCTTTATGTCCATGTTACTATTAAATGTCAGCGTTTTTTTCGGAGATGAGCCCTACTGCGCAATAGAACACCGTATTTCATAAAATATTTAAAATGATTTTGCCAATATTAAGTAGTACACTGATTTGACACTGGAGTAAACCAACCAGGAGGTGCTATCCAGGTTCGGTAACGTTGGCAAGCTAAACACTAATGCCTTTGTGGGCAGTACGGAGACGACAGTTTATTATCACAGGAATTATAAAAAGGAATTCTCATTCACCTGTAATTGAAGACTCGCAGCTGCGTAGTGACACCGCATCGAGGTTGTCGCGGTACAGTGAGGGCACGCTCGGTGGATTGCAGGAGGGTCGATTTTGTTTAAATCGGCCGACGGTGAGACTACCGTTGGGCGCCAGAGACTGCAAACCAGAGACTGAGGTTTTGCGAATCCCCCTGAGCGGTTTAACAGTCTCCGCGTTGGCTGCTACGCAAAAATAGACCAGACACGTGTCAAACGCTAAGTTGCAAGTGAAGCTCCGGGCCGGTAGCCACCCTGTCTAGACGGAATCTTTTGCGTCTTTTGCTTGGAGTTGATTTTACGGCCACACGGAGTGAGGAATAATTGTATCCCACTAGCAGAGCACGCTTAACCCGGCAAGATGACTGAGGCCCCGCCTTTCACTGGGATGGTGAGAAATTTAGTTACCATGGCAGCAAGTAAACCATTCTTTCACATGGGTTACTGATGATCGCATTATGGAACTGGTAGTCAAGTAAACGATAACGTAATTGGATAAGTATCCTCCAAATCTCATATTTCAATGGTAAAACATAGTGATCGCCTCCAACTCATTCTCCGTCAAGAACGGTGAAGGTAGGCTGACATTCAGAAGCTCGTGGATAATCCTGCTCAAACTCAAACTTGCGATGGGACATCAGAGGTTAGAAGAATGGAATCCCGAGGCACAATAATCGATATTTTCGGTTTCTGTGTGAAGCTGTTACTCAATATGTTCACTAGGAGAACCGTTGAACCCAATGGGCGGTTCCTGCAACCTATTTCGGCTTAACGACGCGAAATGTATCGAATGAAAAATGCTACGTTTATGTGGAATGCCGAAAACGTGCGTCGATTGGTGGGGTGATCACGTGGGTCATGGGAAGGTTTGTATTACTGCGACTGAGTCACCCAACCGGTCGTGGAGAGTGGACAGTCTAGCTTGATTAGAAAAAAAAGCCCATACTTTTTGCACTTATCACCGTTCACTTTGAAAAAAGGATAATTTCGAGAATAATTTGTGCTGAATTGGGCCTGATTTTGATCTACAATTTCTGATGCGTGACTCATTTGACGGTAACCTGCGCGGTATACGAAGACGGAGGCAGATAATTATGCCAAAAGAAGTTTTGTCGAACGACCGGTTTGGCACGGCAAATGCACGCCGCGTCAGTGCAACCTAGAAAAGACACTGCATGTAACATCTTTGCGGATTATATGGTATCTTCCACCATAAAGGCACACACACGCAAAAAGAACTCACAATCGCGTCCTTGGTACAAGGAGTACCCACTACTGCTTGTGACCAAGAGGGGCAGATGACCGTCATTACTGACAGTGCTCTGCTTCTGTTGCAGCGGTGGCGGCGGCGGCGTCAGTTTCGACTTCGTTTCGACAGCAGGAGAATTGGGCGAAGTGGTTGGGAAGCCATCGCCTCCTCCGTAGCCTTCTGCTAAACGTCCTAGGCTGGAACACCGCTGGCCAAGTGGACGTACCTGACAGCTTGGACGGCGCTGCTGATTGTACTTGGGACTGCCTCTAAGTGGAACTAATACAAATACTCGCAAATAACATCACAAGCACACACCAGATAATGCCGATATTTGGGGTCTTTGGACTTCATGCCATCAGTACAACTAGGTACTTCGATCAAACACGCTGTTAAATAGCAAACATAGTTCCAACTGCTCATTTTACTTTGTAGACAAAGGTTTCATGAAATGAGGTTACAATCGGCAAACTTGAAAAACTTCACACAAGCTTGAATCTTTTGAGGGACCCCGACCGCCAGGCCCATTTCTGTAATTAATTCAACCACCGCTCTTGACGGCAAACATTCAAATTTTTCAAAATTTCGACTCATGTTGAAATAAGCTCTTTAGTCACACTATGTCGGTAGATTGCAAAGTGCGGTACTAGTGGCACGGGAGTGCCGCTGTCAAATAAATTGAGGCAGCTACTGCAGCCAGAGGGATTGCAACGCTCCCAACATACGAATTTCGCGACCTGTGATATTCCTTTTGGTTTGCAGCTGTTGGAACAACGTCACTTGCCAATCAACGAGGTCAAAAGCCCAATCTTCCTGTAATGGTTTGTCATGCAGACAGAGGTTTCCAGTAATGAAATCACTTAAAACATCCCGGCATGCACTGCCATCGCGCTTTCCACAACGTTTGACCTACCTTCAACAATTACGCCAGGGCAATCTCATGACAACGATAAATCACTTTGCAAGGGATGTGTTGGCTGCACACAGGGATCACTGTTGACTACTCGTGCAGAATCTCAAACCAACCTCCCGAAGTAGAGAAGACGTGGGGTATTTTAAGGCCTCTGGACAAACTCTCGAACCAAACCAAAAATGAATCTCTTATTGAATCAAAAACTACATTTTCTGAACCACCAACGTCTGCGTTCAATCGTGGTGTTCAAGGTTACAAGTTTAAAAGCTTCGATTTCGGCTTTTAAAAGTTCACTTAACTCAGGTCGTCCGCCTTTCAAACAAAATGAACGCAACATACGCATGACCTAGCCGATGAAATTAATTACGACTAGAAAAGTGCTAATCTGAACTAAAGCAGTTTATGCAACCGGTTGTGGATGGTGACGCAAAAGGCGTCCATACCGATGTCCTCATCCTGAAAATCCCTAATGAGGTTGGCAGTGGCGACGTGATTGGCCAAAACGGCCTCCTGATAGGCGGAGTGGCCGGCGCGATTCTTCAGGGTCCGATTAGCACCGCGGAAGAGAAGGAGGCGCGCACACGACTCCTGGCCGTTGTAGGCGCAGAAGTGGAGTGGTGTGTTGCCGTTATACGTCGTCTGGCTGTTGATGTCGGCCCCGTAGGCTATCAGCTGCTCCAGATGCTGAACGCGGCCGAAACGGCAAGCCTGAAGGCAGAAAAACGAGTGCTCAGGTCAACAATGTCCCACTCGTATATATATACGTTAATCTCTACTGTCGAAAACAAAATTCGACTGCTTAGTATGTCTCAGAGTTCAAGGGACATTGTCTCCATGTCACTTCAAACAGTTCATTGCTTTTTTAACTAACAATGCCAAGTCGAATTTCGAAAAATGAAGTTTTAGGCAAAGGATCTGCATCCAGTGACAACTCACGTAATTCTTATTATCAAACTTTTACGAGAATGGCCTAGAAGAAAGTGACTGCGACCTGAACGCCGGTTTTTTATGAATGCTTGAGGACATAGTGTTTTGTAACTGACAGCGGTAAAACAATTAACTGCTTAGAAGGAATTACTTTCTTTGATTAAAATCTCGTGGTCAACACCTGTCACTGAAATTCAAAGGTCGAATCCTTGTCTCCTTCCAACATCATTCCAATGTCTTTACTTTTTGTGTCACCAAGCCAACAAATGCTGCCGAGCGTTCCGGAAATTTCGATGGAACACGTCAAGAATTGTCGTGGTTCTATGTAACAAGGGGGGATAATTGATGACTGTCCTTCCTCCTCCATGATAACTGGTCAAAAACTTCGTTGAATGCGGTTGTAAGCACTGAATTGAGGCAGAAACACTGCCAAGTAGTGGCGAATGCACAAAACAGTGCTGAAGGGCACAACCTCTGCACGTTTGAAGCACGCCTCAATAAAAGTAACAGATGGAAAAGAGGACGCCTGTCAAACGGTCTAGATCATCACTCGTGACATCTCTTTTTGTCATGGGTTTTGTTGTGTGCGTGGAAGTGAACCTCACATCACCAGAGACTCTGAAGACAACCATCAGTTGCTTGGAAATGCATCCATCGGCGAGGCCAACATGAACAAGACACCATTTATGACTTATGTCAGTGGAGAAGGCGTGCAGCTACTTCCCACATGCGATTTTTTACACTAGAGCACAAAGATTTTCACCACGAACAACTTCAAACGCCACTTAATCTCAGAATGTACCGGTATCGTATCGGCATACATCACAGACCTGTAGAAAGGATAAGTTAACTGAAATTCTGTTAAGCTAAAAAACTAACATCGACGAGATAGTAAGATGTAAATCTCTTTCGACATCCGAATTTTATGGTTGAGACATCCAAAATCACCAACCGCCAGAAATTTAGTGCACAGTTTCTAAAAGTCGCCCCAATGTAAGGACTTAGATATCAGGATTCGCTAAATTGACTTGCTCTCAGAATAGGATCCGTGCCGCGTCATGTTGAATAGGGCCAGAAACGGGGTTATCGACGCACTGCCACGCTGTCACGCAATCTACGCCATTCCACATAAGATAACTAATTCAACGAGGCTCTTCAACGTAAAATTAAGCTGATTGAAAAGGGTTAACACCACGTTCGACGTTTACGCCGACAGCGAATACATGGGAGGAAACTTCCACGTACTTATACCAGATTTACTGTGGTTAATACGTGTCACTTAACATGGAGATCTCAATGTCTCGCAACCGGACAAGCATAACTGACTTACACCACACCATAACGCAGAAATCAAGACGCTGATAAGTACGACAAACTCAGTAATTATTGTGTTTTTACACTGAAACACAAATTGCCTCAGAGATTACAACCAACCACTAGTGCGTAGTGAAGTGTAGTATCACTTTTCAGCGTTTTTCAGGGTCCGCAAAGTATCCATGCACAATAAAAGTTTGCAGTTGTGTCGCCGTTGCTGTGATTACTTTGATGATACCCATTGTGAACCAGTCGGCGTGCAACCAACTTCTGTATGTTATGAAAGGTATGGATTACAGCAAACACAAGGTTTTGGACTGTAACGTTTAACAATGTACTCGATAGAAGTTACACAAATCTCTAGCCAGAAATTAATAAAAGGGCACTGGGTGATTATTGATGTCGATTAACGAGGACGTTTGAAAATATCGGCGTGAAATTCTAATCGTATTTTTGCAAGGTCCAAAGTTGATATAAGCCTCTTGCACACACTTTTAAGCACTGAAAATCACGTGAATTAAGGCCTTGGCGGTTGCGTTTTTAAGCTTCTTAGATGACGCGGTGTAAATATTTAAAAGTTGGTCACAGTGAGTCACTTAAATACTGAAATGGCTTAGCAGCGAGTGTTTTAGACCAGAAGCAAACAAATCAAACCTGGTGTATTTCTTCCAGGCCGGCACTATCGGTGATGCCGATTACCGAGTGGTCGAAGAGCAGGCGCTCGGCACACATTGCGGAGGTGTCGTTCAGCATGCAATGGTAAAGCGGTGTGAGACCATTGGAATCCCGGGTGTTCGGTGACTGACCCAAATCGAGAAGCACCTTTTGGAGCATAAATGATATCAGCATGTACAGTGTTAAGCGAATATTTTCAATGCTGACAAGTCAAGATATTCAAATTTTATGCTGCCCTAGAATACTAAACATCTTGAAGGCTCTCAGTTCAATGTTGTTAGGATAAGGAGTAGTAAAAAAAAACTAGACTGCACAGAGACCAGATGAGGAACATAAGCTAATAATTTTTTGGTCAATATGCGATTATATCATGTGAGAGTATATGTGTAAAGTTAGTACAACTGTGTGTTAAAAGGAATACAAGATATAGGAGGTGTCACTAGAATACCCACAAAAAAATTTTTTAATGGCTCTAATTTCGCTATTTCAAAGTACTGATTGTTAGGGATACCTGAATTGCACGTTTAAAAATTAAATTCCAAATGACGGAAATGACACTACAAGAATAGTAAAAGAAAACGTGAAGGGTCGTAATATAGAAAGTAATCTACAAAAATCTAATCTTAATCGAGTAAATTTTCCATTATATAAGTGATGCTGTAATTTTGCACTCTTACTTTAATCGCTTCGTAATTGCCACTAATTGCTGATTTGTGTAAGGGAGTATAACTGTCAGCAGAGCGAAAATCTAAATGAGCACCGCCAGCTACCAGAGTCATTATGATTGCCTTCGGTTTCGGAAGCTGAACTGCAATAGTTAGAGGAGTTTCTAGAGAGAAACAAAAAGATAATTAATTGTTTTCGAAATATATTAAGAGAAGATAGTTACCAAACTTAGAAGTGATACTTACCTCCATCATCACGATTTTGAAAATTGGGGTCAACACCTTTTTCGAGAAGTTTTGTAATTTTTTCTAATTCACCATAGCGCACAAGCGAGAGAAAATGACGCAAATTCGACTAAGCAAAAATAAACTTATTTAACTACGTGGCAAAGAAAGGATGCGATTCTCACATTCGAATTAAAGTTTATTATGGAAAGAAACTTGAATTATTGTCAATGGCAAAAAAGAGGAAACAACATGTCAATCGAGAATTTCCCGCTAAAATAATAAACAGAGTTTAATTATTATTTATTTTGAATCTCTCATGGTAAAAAAGTATTTTTTTGCCAAACGACGTACATAAAAATTGTGCCACTCAAAAACCATTTATTAATCTTTAAAAAAGCAGAAGTTGAAGACCAACTTTTAATGTTATACCATGCAGAACGCTTTTACTAATTACTAACCTTTGAGTTAATCTTCCGAAGCTTACTTAAGTTTGCCGGCAGATTTCTATATATTCTTTGTTTATATTTTAACTAAACAGTTCAGAAAACCTATAAAATTAAACCTCCAGATGTCCAACAGAATCAGAAAATGGGTAGTCCTTCAGCAGTCTATCTTCTTGCAAAAATTTTCCCGCCTTCCCATTTTGTGGGGGAAGGAATAAACCATAATTCAAGATGTCACGAAAATCCAGACGCAAGTCAGTCACGATTGAAAGTTTCACATCTGAAACTGCATCCGCTGGTAAAAAGCTATAAACTTTCTATAGTAAGTGTAGTGTAATTCAACGGGCAGAGGAATACTAACCTCAACATTGACCGATGGGACGGAAATTTTAATGACTGTGGAACCAAATGAACTTGCTTCAGTGTCCTTGTTACTACCATTCATGCTAACAGATAATCCAGAATCACTGTCACACATAATTAACCAATAGTAAATGTAGGAAAGGATGTCTAAAGAGACAACCGTCGAACATGCGAAAACCTTTTGTTTTAAAATAATTGGATGCTTTCTAAAAATAAAACTAACGCAATAAAACAAGGCTTAAGGACAGTGCTTTAAAATTACATTGTTATAAAACGTGCATAAAATGTGCTACTGTTAACTTAAATGTAATTTGAGATTGCAAAAATATTTTTGAAGAAGTGCTAAATTGCTTTTATGTGTGCAGTGATGAAATCATGTTAACGCTCACGACCATACATTTTAAATCTTATTTAGGGTAATAATCATTTTTAAATAAATAAGCGAAAAAACTGGCGAAAAATTAAATTAATACTAACTGTTTACAAGAGTAAGTTGATCAAGGCTACTATTTTTTGCAATTAAATTTTACAATTGAACCAGTAAAAAAAACAAACATTGATTAAAAAATGAGTTATCAATTTGTAAACAGAAAAAATTTGCACAAAATTTTATAAGCTTAAACTGGCAAAGTCAATGTTTTGATTTGTAGCAAAGAATCTTAGGAAGTTCAATCATTAATTTTTCAGAAAAGTTTGCAAATTATTTGAGTCAAAATTTTAGTTTATCTGACCCAGGTCAAATGGAGTTATTCCTGAAACGATACAAGTTATAGAATGCAAAAGAATTTACAAGATTCGTAAATGCATTTAGGGATCTTGAATGCAACTTTCTCTCCTTAGTTATTTCTACGTCGATACTTTTTTTACTTGGCCAAATTTTTTTGGAAAATTTAATGATATTTTAATGTCCGTTGAAAAATGTTAAACATAGGTGACTGGATTTCGTTTCAACAGATAACGTTTTTTTGAACTGACTTTAATATATATAATTAACTTTTTATTTTTGCATTGCATGAAAATTATTGCATTGTGATTCACTTCCGATAATGAATATTATTTCACTTGATATGTACAAAATAATTCAATCGATTTACCTTCAACTTTATCATTATTATTTGTTCTACTTTCTCAAACGCAAATGATCAAGAGTAACCATGCATTTTACGCGGGAACCCTGAATTCAGTAAACGAAAGCCGACCTCTTTTTAATCTAATCTGAAGCCACGAAATGCAGGTTCCACGTCTTAAGGCTTTTCGAAGCCACAAGTAAGGGATTCCTTTTAGCTGCACAAGCATGTATATCCTTGCATCATGAATCAAAGACGTCAAACTGGTGCACCACTTTCTTGAAGAACTGAATATCATGCACGCACTAACATGCACTTTGAGTTTATGAACATACATTACTCTGCCTCACTGCAGATTCTTCAGTATAAGTGAGGGTATACATGTTAATCTCCTTTTAAATACTCAATGCTTAGTCATTAGTTTAAAATAATCAAGCCTAAAGATCCTATAACGGATGTAGTCAGTAAAATTTGATTATAAAGTTATGTCTATTATTCGAATAGCTGTAAGAGCGTCGTGTACAGGAAACGAATAAACAAGACAGGAGTAAAACTTTAAGCCCCAGTGTGGGTAAGATGAAATGCGAGACTCGAATACAATTTAAGCCAAATCAGGACAATGTAGGCTTTTGTTAGTTCTTAGAAGCATGACGGAAAACACATACACTTATCACTTGTATTTAATTATGTTGAGTCTCAAACACCGTCTGTCGCTGTATGTACCGTCATTCCACCTCCGGTCAGAGAATGCCCGCTACTCATACGAACTGACTTTTGCAAATTCCTGTACACATACTCTCCCCGCCACTTACCCCCTCATTTGGCCATGTGTCTGTACTTCAATCATTGAACACAAACCGTTCTAGTCAAAACCCTCATTGGATATGCATGGCATTGAACATAAACATGAATACAGTATACGGACATGAAGGGTCATTTATAAAATTGTCAAATTCGCCACCTCTAGTATTCCAAGTACATCTGCATTTGTTTCCAATACAAAGCGGTAATTTCTGTGTGGAGTAAAGATTACGTGCCGTGGGATTGAATACCCCTTAAAGGACACCCACTTTGCTTTAGCTGGCTATGTCATTAACCAAGCACTACGTTAAAAGATACTACTTAAAAGATTAGCAGAAATATTTAATCAAATATCTCATTTGAGGAATTATCACCTTACAAAGATAACGCTAGTATGGGCAAGAATAAAAGCTGGGACCCGTAAATGGCCCAGGTTTGTGGAAAGCTGTTGCCCACTGGAATACAAACGTGTAAAACAGTTTAAAGATGTAACATTTCTGATTTCCAGATCAGTGGACTAATTAACATACCATATGACCTAATAGCAACCTCACTGAAGGTCAGCAGTTTCTGGAGTGGAGTCAGCGGTAGTAAATGAGCAACTGAAGTTCTCGGATCACACCAAGTTTCACCCGATTTTTTTTCATAAGGTTTACTCTAGGCTGTCCATCAAAACTATTATTGGGACTAGTAGATGCTTTGTCAAGCTATGGCACGTATTACTCAGAGGGAAGGACTTACGCTTTATTTTGAACAGTCAATCCAGTTGTGGTGTGTGGGCGTGAATACTGGAGTTTGTTGAACAATCAGGTCTGTGTGCTAGTTAAAGTACAAGTATCCTAATGGCAGGAAGCGTCATATGAGCAACAGTAGAGGCATGCACACATGAATTTTGATTATCATCTTTGGGATTCTATGGAAGCGTGCGTGGTTTTTCTGAGATTGCGAAGAACGCGTTCTTGCGTGTAAACCAATTCGATTTAATAAAACGCGGTGGTTATACAAAAAATATTTTCTTGCTCAAGCAATTTTAACTGCTGTATTCACGTGTACACGGTTTTTTTGTAGGAAGAAATAAGATAAGTATGCGAGTAATTTGAACGGAAAATTGCGAAGTTGTCGGTGTTTGTGCCAACAGCGGCGAAAAATAAGAGTTGCATCGATGTTTTAAAAAAAAGTTTTTTTTTTATTCTTTAAATACACAGCTGAACGTCTGATCAGGAACGGATAGATTCAGTGAAATTTGCATCTATACTGGAACATTGGCTAAGGTGATGTCATTCTTGGGTACAGCAATAAAAAAATAAATTTTTAAATGCAATACTTTATACATCGTTCCGTTTTTGAGAAAAGGTTACTAAAAACCAAACAACAAATGAGATTTGAGATTTAATATTGTTTTTGGAAATCAGATTTGATTGATTTGCTTTCCAGAAGCCGCGATATATCGTAAAACAAGGGATTTCCGCGCAGTCTGGTTTTACAGAAAATCCATCTGTTATAATGCATGGGAGTGATGATGTTATTCTACAGGGTTTTCCATTTTTCCGATATAGAAAAAAAGTAATTAAGTATTACATTTATTTCAAGACTTACCTAGTGGAAAAAGCGGTATTGTATTCTCCTGAAACCATCCACATTTTCAAGTACTTTGGTTTCATGGTTTTAAATTACGATTTTTAGACACCCTAAAGCTATTTATCACTAAAGCTCAATTTTCCCAGTCGTCAGATCCAGAATATGTGCACTCGTTTGATATCGGCGTGCATATATTCTCACGTCCATCAATTTTACTCATTTGCACCCACCGAGTCCGTTGCATGACGTTTGAGAAGTTTGACGACCTTCGTCTATGGGCTGACACTTTACAGGACTCTCTTGTGTGTATGTTTGTGTTTTATGGTGTTTTTGTCCCCTGAATTCCTGATTATCGCAGTTAGCATTTGTTGACCATTGAACGGTCAAGTAAAAAAATCTAAAAATCCTAAAATTATTTGCACATCCATTTTTATATCCTAAAATTGATAATCGATTCCTTTAAAGTATAAAATTGTGCAGCCAAATCTCTTAAATGTTTTTAATGTCATGACATCAGCCGTATTGTTCATTTTACTAGTAAGTTGGTACAGTTGCGTTTTACAGTCCGCGGTTTGTTGTGAAAATGCACTTTTATTGCTGGTACTTGTTTTTCAAGGCTCAAGGTTCTTCGCAAGTTTGTGTTCAGCTCCCAAATCTAGTTGCCTCCATTTCCACTCTTCCTCGATCATTCCCTCAGAAGCTTCGGACGGCGAAGCTCTGAACGCTGCAGCATCTCAGAAAAGTTGTTCCACTCGAGCACTGTCCACTAGAAGCTCAAACCACCAAACTCACTTCTCAAATCTCTTTTCTCGCGCCATACACCATTGTGGTGGGAACAATGATGGCTTCCTCCATGTCACACTCGACCGACTTCTTTTCGTTACCACCTCCCAGGGACGAAAACCAGCTCTTCTTGCCTTTTGGAATTTTACAAATGGAGAAATCAGTGTATACGGAACTGGGCGAGCTTGTATGAAAACAGACGACTTAGAAACCAAAGTTTTTTATTTGGTGGATGGAAAAGGCCAGTATATTTTTATCTGTGACCGAGCTGTCGAGCTAAGCGCTTGGATCCAGCGTGCCACCAGACCAGCGTCATACCTTTACGAAAGACGGTGGTTATCCTCTGTAGCTGCTCAGTTGGGAGAAGACCAGAAATTAGTGGTTATGCCCCTAAGTGGAGGCAGTGGACGGGAAGTGTGTGGTGCCAGTTTGGGTGAGGTCGATGAGGTAGATGTTTATTTCTTTCAACTACCAGTAAATTAAGCCTTTATATCAATTAATACGCAGCTGGTTCGTTTTTTGTCACTTTATAGCCACGTCTATAAATTTATCCTGTAGTTAGCTAGCGTGTGAATTTTTCTATGACCTAAACCATACATACACATGACGTTTGTGTCGCTTTCAATACGTAAAAAATTTCGCACTCTTCGCAGGAGTGTTTGTCTCTTTACCTTTTAGACACTATAGCTGATACACCTTCGTGAACCTTTCCTTAATTGGTGCCTTATTGTTCAGGACTTAGTTGATGCATTATAATAACTTATTCTGGTTTGAGTGATCTTGAGGAATAACTTTGGCCAAAACAGCGAGGTCAGTAGCTTAAAATGCTCACACTTTGTGAAGCCGTACAGCAAGCCTGTATTTCATTATTCCTTTTTTTAAACTTCTTTGAGGTCACTTGAATGCATTCGAATACAGAGCCACCTGTTGCAAATTCTTCTAATTTCATGAGCCTTAAGCCAGTTATGCGGCTGGAGCAATAAGTTGTCTGTCACTTTTTTCCCTTTAAAGTTTGATCTTGGGTGCGAGCACATTTTCCAATTTTCGCCGTTTCTCTGCAACCTCTAACTGTCGCCGTACCAAAAGATTTAACCGGCATTCATGGAAGGCTGCTAGTTAAAACTAACTCAAATGCACTCGTCGGTTTATATTGACTTTGTCTTCATCAGGACAACTGATCATTTATCACGTCCCCTCGACGTCTTTACTTGCTTCCCCTATGAACGCCTATTTGCTAATTTTTGTAGATTCCCGTAACTAGTTCTCAGAAAACACCGTATTTCCCCGTTTTCCGTCCAAATCCTTCCTCCTCCATGGATGTTGATGTACATCTCCCAGAGAAACCTTTTGGGAATAATTTCTCATCCTCCTCCTTCACTTTCCGCCGGCATGTTCGTGGAAGGCAAGTAATTTACTACTTTTTTGTCAGTAAATTCAGGTCGTAGGCAGTTGATTCACCATGACTTAAGCCCCCCAAATCCTGCGTTTTTCCGTACTATTGAATCTAATGTTGCCTGTTTTGGGAAAACGTTGACCTTGTAGCATTCAAGCACTATTCTGTGCACACTCTAACGTTGACCAAACATTTTTTTACGAGAATGTGAATTAGCTTACAGAGTGCGCCTGCGTGCTGTTGAGGATGCCCTTTGCCTTTTGGTGGAGTGTCTGAATTCACGGCAACGTATGAATCACCATATATGTCTTGTAGTCACTCGCACATTGTCGTTGCACACCTTGCGATCCTTTTCACCAATCCCACAGCGTCTTTTTAAAAAAAATAACGGCGTTCGTACTCCGGTTCTTAGTATTAGCCGTTTTGAGCCTTGTTCTCTCACCTCGTTTAATTTCATTGATTCATTACTTCAACGTATCACCAACTGACAACAAGAAAGCACTTGCTGACCTAATATCCCTATATCCGTTTGTTGTGGGAGAGGGTTGTCACCAGGCGTCAAGCAAACAAACCACAATTTTAATAAAAGCGCAAAAGTCGGCACATAAATCTTGTCTGGCATGTTAATTGGTCTGGTTCTGTGACCGGTTGTTTCACGCTTGGCTTGGCTTGATTCATGCAAGTTATCGGTGCTATAAGAGGCTGTCCTGGTTCTCAGTCAACGCTTTTGTAATATCTAGCGTCCAGCACCGTCTAAACATCCTTCGTGGTCTTCCAACCGGGCCACGTACCGGTTCTTGGACGCGCTTCATTGTGTAGTTACGGTGACTCGGTGATGCCATAGGTGGCCAGACCTGCACGATTAATTTGGTCCCGTTTCTGACGCCTTGTGGCACAAGGCTTTCTGTTATTCCGATTTGAACTTCCCGCTTCGGCTCGAATTTGTCAGTTTTACGTACGCGTACAAAAGTGCTGGTTATTGTATTTGCCCAAGCAATTTTCTGTGATCGCTGTTATCTGAGCAAGTGTCCTTTCGTCCCAGTCACGTCTTTCCTTGTGTAAAGTCCTAATGGATTTCTCTAACATAGTGTGGTGTGGCAGTGGCGTCATTCAGAAACGCACCGCGTCGTGTTTTCCCTTACCCAAGTCAAAATCCCGAAAATTCTCTCACCCCGTACATTTGCCGACTCACCTCCGTCTGATATACCATTAATTTATCGAAGCTGGTAAGGAAGGCCATGCAGCCTCGTCAAAATTCTTATCGCAATGTTACCTTGCTGACGTTTTGGCCAATTCTCCGCTTTGTTTACTTTCAGAGGGTCATACCGAGCCCGTATGCGATTCTCAAGTAATCCAACTGACCGTCCAGTGCAACCAAACGCACTCCAAGCAAGCTGTCAGTACGCCTCCGCCAGTGTACGTAACAGTTGCTCCAAGGCTAGGTTTGCAATGGCACTAATAAATACCGTCACATTATCGACCTTAGTTTGCTTCTTTTTGATAACTCGTCAGCGGAAACGCGGAACGCTTTAGTGTCGTAGTGTTTTGCACTTCCCTAAATCCAAGTGATATCGCAAACTATTCCTGTATTTGGCATCGGATGTTGCATGTGAATTCTCGTCCAAACGTGATTAGTCATCAGTCTGTGTGTGCGTGTGTGTGTGCGGTTTTTAAACCTGCCCAAACAGATTATTCACAGTCTCCCCTATTTTTTGCAGGTGCCTTCGACTCACGACGCCAATGTTGTCTCACGGTGGGACTCTGAGATCCTCTCGTGTCCATGTCAATGTAGCAGGTAAACAAGCCCTGTTCGCCCTTTCACGGAGCAAACGGTCCACTTTCTGTGGTGTGATGATTTATTGTTCTAGCTCTGCGTACATGTGCGCACGGGCACATTCGTGCACTGCGCCAACACGGTTGACTCAGCGCCCACTTTACACGTCATTCCACTCATGTAGTTACCACAAGGGCAAAATACGCCGAGAAATACGTCACCAGAGGGGTCGGGTAGCACCTTGTAAACGTCGATAGTTCTTCAGCCAGAAACTTCACTCATTAACAATCAATCTTGTCCACTTCGAGTTACCCTGTCACTCCGTCATTGGTATCGACTACAAAATCTTGACTATTAACTTACGCGACTGTAATATCGGTCAAAGGAGACGTGTATTTTTGATTAATTAAAGATGAACATTTTTCTACAGCTAAAATTGTCACATCTCAAGATCGGTGATACTTCTAACATGATCGGCTGTTAGTTTTCAAATAGCCAGGGTTTTCTTATGATCAGTCTTGCTCATCTTCTCGAGGGTTTGGAAGGCGATTGACCAGTTCCAAGCATTAACCTTTACACCTTGAGAGTGCACCGTTGACGTTGCTACAGTCAAATGCGACATTCGACTGGTAGAACGGTTGCCTACTATCTTCTACTCGTAACTGCAGTAAGACAATGACCTTCACGAACATGAAGGCCCGTGGATTCAATGTGCCGCCGTGACGTTGCAGATGGAAGGCATACTATCCCTTTTTTATGGTGTAAGAAATGGTAACACAGTCTCTGGTTGGAGGACTGCCGTTTTCAGGTAGACTTGCACCTGTTGATGGCGAGCCAATACGATTTCCTCCTTTAATTGTGATTTGAATGCAAAATTGTAAAGCAAGGGACCGCCATTTGAAGAAGTGTCAAAATTTACTGGGCGATGCCCAAATATTTGAGTTGGCTGGCTTAATTACTACTACCGGGAAGTCTGATTTGGAATGGTATCTGTTTGTAGGACAGAAAAGCTCAATTCGCCACTGCAAAACCCATCATAAATCGAGTAGTTCAGATTTGTGAGGAGCGGGGCGTTACAATGAAAAAAGTGAAGATAGACATACCGAAGGAACCGGCACCACTGATTGTCTGTGGTGGGTCTTGAAGTTGTGTTAGGCTACAGATTTTACTTGCTTCTACGTGTACGAGGCAAGACGAAGCGACTTTTACCCTCGGTCATTGATTACAACTGTTAATCTGTCGTCGTGCTAGAAGGTTTGACGGGCCCTAATGGAAGGCTGTTGGTTAAAGCCAATTCATATGCTTCGAGCAAGTCCAGCAGCGCATTTCGACGAATTGTCGGCTTATCGGAACCCTCCGTCACTGGGGAAATTGCTTTGTTTCGTGCGCAGGTGCGCACGCCCAGCAAATCGAGAGGCCGTGCCGTGGTGTGGTGGTAAAATTGGAATGTTGAGTAAAACTCGCAGACTTGCACGTAATGTACTTCAGGGGGGTACTTTGGTTGACACGGTTGTTGTATTTTCATGGGGGATGGCAACCACATTGTAGTAATCCTACACAATACAAACAAAGTATTTGTTAAGCACTTGTTGTTATTTGATTTGGGTTTAATTTTCGCATGATTGACTGCATATTCCAAAACCGATGCATATTTTTGACTTCGGAATCACACTTTGTAGGGACCGAGTTTTATTTCGGTGGTTGCTTTAGGGTCCTGCGCTTGAAGGTGCAACAATTTGTCTGCGGCAAGGTTTAATATCGGATTTATCACTTCGGTTTCATTGGGTCGGATTTAGCCACTCGCGCAGATCCGGCGTTTTTTAACGTAATCAGGCGTTATTTCACGCACTTTGATTCCGAAAACTTTGCTGAAAGAAAAAAAAACACATCGAATAAGTCAATTTGGTATATTGTTGTTTTTTTCGGGTGTGGTCGTTGTCTGGAGCGCTAATCTGCCATGAATTGGTTTCCACAAGTTTTGTGTGAAAGCTCAATTTCCGGGTGAGCTCAACCTTCCCATAAATTTGACTTTTGATATGTGCCCCGTTTCCCGCGCCTCGCAGTTCTTCAAAAACAATCACAGGAATCTCCTCTCCACGTGCAGACAAGGTCAGAGGTCACGTAAAGGAGCCTCGAAACGATCAGTAATTTTATAGCACGATTAGGTGTCACCACATTCAGGCTCATCGTCCCCAAGCTCTACAAATGTATCTTCGTCCTGCGTAAAATATCACCGCCACGCCAAGTATCCTTGTTAACCAAGTAGGTAATAAAATTATCTGTTCTTGGGTGACCAGGTTTCGCAGGGGCATTCAACCAGCAGGCATGTTTTTTGCGTGTTTAGCCGCATTTGTGGTCTTATTAACTGTGCGTGATCATGCGTGAAAATTTGCTATCAGTTTCGACAAGACATCTAGCTCCATGTAAATTTCATGGGGCTTCTGAGCTTTCCCCTTTTTTTAAACAACTAACCGACCTGAACACTAATGAGCCTGTGATGCTGTATGTCTACGTGCTTTTGAAGCACATTGGCCTTCGTGTACATCCCGGTGTTGACTTGGATCGTTTATAAATGGCTGTTGAAACTGTCTTACATTTTCTGGCCTCACTTTCGGTTTCCGGCCACCAATGTGGTCTTTCTCGTTTTCTTTACGTCACTGCTCTGACACTTTAATGACGGCTGCTAAGCCCTTGACTTAGCCATTTTTTCAACTTATTAACACCAAGGACCTGTGTTTCTGTATTTCTCTAAATCATTCGACCTCCAGACTGCCGTTTGGATGTGACGTGTTCTATCGACAATCGGGAGCACTCATTGAGACATAAGCCATCTAGGGTAGGTCTTATTGGCACTGGTGTCGTTGAGAGATAATTTTCCAAATCATTGTTAGAAACCCCCATTTCCTATCGGCAAGAATGTGTCGATAATAATATTTTTTTATCAGAACCGACGATCAGCCATCGATGGTTGCACTATCACCTCTCCCACTGGAGAGCCCGGACACCATGAAGTACTTTCCTCTCACCTCCGTGGACTGCCCCCTTGACTGTGGAAATCCGGGACGCGTGGAAAAAGAGGATCGAGTGCGGACACTGTCAGCCGCTCTCTCGTCGCCAGATTCGTCTTGTGCAAACCCCCGTCCCGAATGTGACGGCAAAACCGAGGCCGAAGTGCGACCGGCGAGGTGGGCCTCTCGACCCCGTCAACTGGGCAATCGATCCACATCTCTCACGCTTTCAAACCACCCCTCGGCGTCGCCATTTTCACGAGGTTAGACCCCTATCTCCATATCACGAAAACTTTCTTTAGACGGATATTTATTCACATGTTTTTCGACGCCTGTAGGTGGGTCTTTTATCTCGTAATCTATGTGTGTGTGCGTGCGTGCGTGTGTATGTGTGTGCTGAACTCTTCGGTGCGCAAACCCTGATTTAGTCACGAAAAAAGCACGTTTGACCTAACCTTATTGCATTGTTTTGATTGGTAAATGAAGAACCCGTCGTTAGGTAAATGACCTCGTCTACTGATACCTGACGTCAATTTACATTAATTGAATGAATAGCTACAATGCTTAGTAAAGTTGATGTCTCACTTATGAAATTCCTTTATTGTTCCTTTATTGATTGGGTAGATAATTTGTGAAGCCAACTTCCATTTGTCACTGTTGACATTAAATAGGCGGCTAGTTTTTGGAACAACATTGGTTACAGAACGGTTCAGGCCAAGGTATGCCGTAACGAACACCACCCGGTAACTTATATACTCCTAGGGAAGCCAGCGCGTGTTCCTCCATGTCTTTGCTTGTGCCGCTTCTTCTACTAAAGTTTCGAACTTCGAACGTTGTCTAGGCAATTTCCTTTCAATAATTAGCAACCTATTGTCATTTGTCAATACGCTAAACGTCAGCTGCATTTTGCCCATAAATATCGAAACGCCACTAAATTAATGCAGTCCGCACTATTAATTTATAGAGTCATCGATATACAAAGCCAGATTCGCTGCGCCTGTATTTGCTCAAATTAGAACAACACCATAGGTATATTCATCGCCAGTAAAATCCGTCGCCTTTTCGGCTTCAGGTGCCGGATCTACGCGATACCGTGCTGCTTCCCTGAGCCCATCATCGATCCTAGGCGTGACCTGCAGCGTACCGTGGGATGCCGCACCGACTAACGAGAAGCCACGAACAGGTTGTCTCTATTCGTCTCGCGATGAGATACGCGAGGCTGCTCTGAGAGCTGCAACCACTTTGCCTGCTTCCAGCCAACTCACCTCACTTCCTTCCGCCAAGTACTCTTCCGGTTTGTCCTCCGATGAAAGTGATGGTGAGTCAACCTAATTTAGTTTTAATTTAACCCAGTGTCAGAAGGTGTGAGCTTTAATGAAGCTACTTCTTTCGTATTCGATAAAATCAGGTAACATTGATGTTCTTTCGTTTTTCAGGAAACAATCAAACTTCAATGGTTTCGATTGTTCCCTCTGGAACTGCGTGCGAAAATCGTTTAGAATTTGAACGTCCTCGGTAAGCTTGCCTTCATTCTAATCCACTCCGCCTTATCACCGCCTTCTTCCCGATTGTCATGTAGTGTAGAAATTTTGTTCAGTCTTTGCTGTATCCCAGGAATTTTTACTGCTGTTTTTATTTCTAGAAAGACATCATTTGACTAAGCATTGTGAACTGGGACTTAGTGCCCTTACTAATCAATGACCAAGCAATCTAAGAACTGTTGGTCTTCCTTAGTGTCACAAGACTGCCGTTCACGCTGATCAATAGGCATACTTATCTGTCGTGTGGATTTGTCGCTTTCTACGAAGCTTTTTACCTAATTATTGTCAAACTGCAACTTTGCAACTGCTCACTGTTGGTCTTTCTGCGGTATTTCGTATTCTACTCAATTTTCATTTAAACGATTGTTCAATTCGACATGTTGGCACGTCAAATGAGACTGAGTCGATTTTATTCATCGGTTTTGTACCCCCAATGCACCACGATTTCCCATGAAATGTTGCCTTCTTGGTGAATCGGTTTGCTTAACGTCTGTTAACCCTGCCACACTGGCCTTTTCACGTCGTCACGATCGTCCCTAATCGTTTGCTCATGCACTCCTGTTCGTGTACTTACCCCACGCTATTCGTTTCACTCATCTAGCCGTTCAGCCATTTGTACTTTTGCGAGTACACCCAAACTGTATTGATCAACAACCCCCATGATTCAGTCACAACTAGATTGAGCAGTCTAGTAAACGGTTGTCTCCGCCATTCCGCAAATTTTAATATAGGGTGACCGGGCTAACTACGTACCAGCCCGGTGTGGTTCTAGACCTTCAACAATTGTTGTGTCCGACGTGATCCCTTTTAACAATCTGTATGGCAGCCTCAGCGTGGCTCAAAATCTCATGCCGGAGCCCTCAACATCTTGAACACCTGTCTTATGGTCGTTACATTTCAGGTACATCAACCTGGGAGTAAATTTAGCGAGAGTTGACGCTTCCGACCAGCGTCTCACGCATCTCGGTGTTCCCGGTTGCCATTCATTTTACGATGCTCGGATCTCTCGCTCGGCGAACTACCTCGGCTACACCCCGTACGTCCCAATCTCGTGGCGTCGCAATCACACCATGAACGACCAGGTTGAAATGACCGACAGAAGCGGGTTTGTTGTTCAACATCTTTCAACTGTCTTCATTTAACGTAGAGGCGCTGTTTATTAGTTGCATTTCGAAGCTGTCAGGGAAGTTCACCAGTTTACTTGCAGATATTATGAACCCTGTCACAAATTAGTGATTCGTTTATTAAACTACCTCAATTGTGAGTCCGCAAGAGTTTGTTCGCTCCACCAACTTCGTTACCTTGGCAATCCAATCAAAGTAGAATTTGGCTACGCAACTTTCAGTGCTTTGCCTGGACCTCCTTGCAATGAGGCCTTACTAGGTCAGGTATCAGGAACTGCAGCTACAGCTTAGGCGAAACCCGTGAGTAGGTGCCCTCCTAGCATCCCCAACTAAGTGTGCATGTAGGGCGGGAATCTTTGGTGTATACAAAAAATTTTGCCGTTTTTAATTAATCGCGGCAATTACCCATTTCAGTAGTCCGTCATGTAGCAATATCTGTCTACTATTTGGCAAGAGTGGTTCGACACGAATATTATGGGATTTTTGACCCAAAAATCGTAGATTTTGTCTTTATTCTGAAGGGATGTATTAAAATCATGGAATTGCATCATTTTGACAGGGCGTTAATTGTTTGTTATCGCGACATGTGCTTTTATGATGTCGAAAACGATTCTACGTATATTGAAATTTGGGTTATTGGTTAGATATTTGGGAACAAAGCTGCCTAGTCCTTCGTCACTTCGAGGTATCCATGCATACAGGCAACTGTTTAAATCACTTGCTGTTTGAAAGTGTATTTTTAGTGGTAGAGGGAGTTTGTGTGGCTTCAATGTCATGTCATTTCCTTTTTCTAAAACCTTTTATCACCAATGGCTCTGCTAATGGTGCGCCATTCTCCCTCGGATTTGTGCTGGCTGTTAATGCGTCTCAAAATTATTCCACATTGATGTCCACTGAGCAGACTCAACCAGAATTATGCCCCCAATGGAAACTTTTTGACACAAAATTTACCCCTATTCGTGCAAATAGACCATGGGACTGGTGGCCAGCTGGATGTCAGACAAGTTGGTTTTTGTTAGAGTTGTTGTTGTTGTTGTTTGAAACCTCCGTGTTTCTGTCTAAACGCGGTGTTGTGCGTGCGCTACACCCGTTCCTGAATTGAATGGCGGCCAGCTCTTGCACGGTTTTCATGCACTCTTGTAAATCTTAATCATTTTCTATTACCTGAATGTTTACCTAATCCTTCTAAGGGGTAATGTTTTGTCACTGAATGAGGAGAATGCAGGCAATGCATTCCAAGAAGTATCGAGTCCCGAACCGCCGCTATCTCGTTCACCCGATTCGCCTCTCGTCTCCCTGGGTTTACTACCGTCCTCTATTGACAAGGCGGACGGCAGCAAACTGATGAGCACGCACCACAAAGGGTAAGCACTCGACTGCATGCATTTAAATTCAACCCATGACTCTGTCTTCTGTCGTTTCATTATATGCTGTTTTGTCATTCGATTCCTTGACAGGTTAATTGACCCCACTCCAGTCTCTTCCGCCGCGGCCACTCACGAAACAATTGCTACCGAGGCAGAAAACGGACAATCAAAGTCATCCTATGTTTCATTTGATTTCATCGAAGCACACCCTCTATCACGTTTAATCAGAAAAATGCGCCTTGACAGTAAAAATCAACTAGAAAATGAGGCTGCAAACACGGTGAGTCGGTTACTTGTGTCTGTTTATGTGGGTGGAAATCATGATCTTATTTTTCATGATGATATGGTTGTTTCATTTCTTTTTCGAGATTGGGATTATTAAGTGCCAACTTCGAGTGTTTGGTAATAACATGCAATTGTGTTGTAGCCGACAAATAGGTGTGCTGATCGACAGCAGGTTCAACACCGGTCGTCGGGACATCGTCACCGATGTTTCTGCAGCTTTCGTTGTCGTCCTTAATCACCACCAGGAAATACGTAATTCTTCGGCTGGTGGGACGGGCCAATTATCCTTATTCTCAGTGACAGTCTTTCATTGAAACTATCGAGATCATTTTTATAGATGCCCAGAATAAGGGCGAAAAACTCGCCGGGACATTTCCAGTATTCTCCATTTTGTCTACATGAGGAATTCTTAAGTCTTGTTTAAATGAAAAGAATTTAATTAACCAATCTTTTCACACAAATTTGTCTCTGTTTTACTGGTGTAAAGATTTTGTGTATAAGGACCTCAAGCTTGTTTTACTGCTTATATGGATTCGAAGAACTCAGGAAAAATGTCAAAGATGATGGGGGCTTTGGTGTCTATAAGACCGCTTAGCCAGCTTTCGCTGAAAATGTGTGTATGCGTTGTGAGTGGAGGCACAACAGAAAATGACATTGAGGAGCAATGCAATGGGCGTGTTATGGCGCGCTAAGTAATGTGATGATTTCTCTCGAAAGTACAAGTGTTCGGCCCTCGCTACAGTCACAACTCCGGTGAACCAGAGGAGCAGTTGCACAGGTCCTACAATTGTTTTTACAGGAGGAATTTCACCCTTCGGCTGGCTCACTTACAGATCCGGATTTGTTAATAACGGTTTTCATTCAAATGGAATTTTGGAGAGGTGGTTAAGTGTAGTTTCAGGTTGTATGTTAACCCACAAATATGGGTCGTTTCACCTATCAGCAAATTTGAAAATCCGAGTTCTCGGTTTGTGGCATGTAATCAGACACGGAGTGATTACTTATGTCGAGCCTGTCAGTGTGATTCAACAGAGACTGGTAAATACGGTTATAGTGTTATTACACATACACAAGCAAAACGGCGAAATTACTGACCTACGCGAGTGACTACTAACCACACATAAGGAAAAGTAAAATACTTTAGTCGTTCTTGAGTTTAAATATCCAGAATGTGTTACTCGCATTAGCTCACAAATTAGTTATGGATGACATTATCTTTGTCGGCTTCATACTTTTAGGTTCATATGTGGAAGGACGACTTTTCTGAAGATAAAGCACAAAAATAAATAAAATGGAACGCTCCATTGTAAATTGCACGAATGGTCAGTTGTCACAATCCGTATTTAATGATACATATTTAAGTACAGAAGCAAGCAAGAACAGAAGTCAGTTTGTGCTTCCAGTGTGTTAGCATCAAAGGTTTAAGAACTAATTTGTGGAGACAGGAACGGAAGTATTTTTGAAAGAAATAAAATTCAGAAAATGTTTTGAAAAGGTCGTGAACACTAAAATTTTGAAAACAGAGATAACTGACTATTTCTAGAAGTTATTTAAAATATTCCCAAATAATAGTTAAATCCTGCAGTGATCAAACCAATAATATAAATTTGAGTAGAAGAAAGCAATATTAAACTTTAGTCAGCCATTAGAGGTGTCAACATTAAATTTTCTCTAAATATCAGATCCTTATTTTGGTTTGCATTAGGCATTAGTTGGCACGTTGAATTGCTAGTGCTTTGCCTGTGAAGTGTTTAATAACAAGCCCCTACTGTTAGAAAGATAGGTACAACGATTCAGTGTTTAATGACGTGCACCAGACCAATCCTTTCAATTTCCCCCTCTGGATTCTATTTTGACCCCAACTAAGGTCTTCATTAACAATCCCTGTGTGTGGTTGGCTGCAGATTTTCTTCCTATGCTACTCAAACGCACCATGACAAAAGAATGGTTGAGCACGTTGAGATCCAATATGACTGCACCTTAAAATGCCACTAAAGCGCGCACTTTTATATGTAGAATACCCGAGCCCCAGTACGAAAAAGACTGGTACAATGTACATGGCGTTATTTACTAATCAAAATCAGAACCGCATGTCAGGTGCTAAATATCCGATTCTACCACACTGGCTGCGCCACCCATTAAATAATCCTGTTCATTCGTGTCTTTCTCTGTTTGGCTGCATAACTTCAATTGTAACGCAGAGAGACAGAGGATTAGCTGGGGCCAGCGTGGTTCAATGTCTGCGCCCTCATATGTGGCCACTGTAGAATACCCGAGCCCCAATAGGAAAAATACTGGTACAACAGAACATTCTTTATTCACTGATCACAAGCCAGAGCCAGACGTCAGCCGCCCTCCATCCGAGTCCACCACCCTGGCCACGCCGCTCATTATATACTGCACCTCATTTGTGTCCTTCTCTGGTTGGCTGCTTATCTCCCTCGCATGCCATTGGAACGCAGAGAGACAGAATTGGCTGAAGCCAGGTGGTCCAATATGTCTGCGAGCTCAGACATCGCCACCATAGAATACCCGAGCCTAAGTATAAACAAGACTGGTACAACAGAAGAGGCTTTATTGACCAATCAGAAGCCAGAGCCACGCGTCAGGCGCCC